CCTTTTAGGCTCCAAGATTTAGAATAAAAGTTCAATATTTTGATATACCCATGGCAATGTTTATTTTATTTTTTTATTTTAAGTAAACAAAAATGTCATTAATCAAGCATTCTGTTGCCATTTACACTGATGTGAGCAACTTTTTAATGAAAGTTAAAATATGTGCTGTGCTTTTTTCTCTGCAACAAACTACATGATAGTGCAACAACTAAAATTGTGGTAAAAAAAGCATATCAATATGGAAAAGTTCTACAATTCTCTAGCATCATTTTAAGAACTGAAGTCATTAAAATTGTTACTAAGCATAATGTTGATTTAGAAATTATATACAATGGCTGTGTTAGAAAATATGCAGCTAACAATTTTGGTTCAAAAAATGGGGCAAAAAATAAATAGGAACCAAATATTCATGAAACTAAATTAATCCCTCTTTTTATCCTAACAAATTGACATAAAAGTCCAAAAAGTCTCTTTTCAATTCCCTGCCTAAACTGTCCTTAATTTTAACATACAAATCACTTTAGGCTTTAATATAAACAATCTAGGAAGATTTTGCTTGTTATGTTTCTGTACATTAGAAAAATTATGAACTAATGAAATGATATGCTGCAGTCACTGAAACTGCAGTATGCGCATGAAATTAATAATTTTATCATTGGCTAATTATTGTTATAGTTAAGATTGTCAGGAGGTCATCATAACCAAAAGGACATTTGAAAATTCATGGATAACAACAATAGCCAAATTAGTATTCAGATTCATTTTAATATGGGCCACTTTTGGTGCTTCACACCTTTTTTATTGATCATTTTTTTGTTTCAAAAATAAGGTCCAGGATTTAGAATAAAAGTTACTTGTAAAATAATCCCTCTATTTAAAAACAATACAGTAGCGAAAGATGACTTCACTTAGTCAGATTGTATATATTTTTGCACAGCTAGATGTTGGACTCATGAAAAATATTTGTGTGCATTTGCCAAAACTGATGCGACAGCCAACAGAGGATTCCACTTGGTCTTAAATCCGTTTTCGATGGGATATTTTCACTATTAATAATGGCATAGCAGTCAAAATAAGACAAATGAGCTCATGCATAGGACAAATTCTGGACTTTTGTTAGTGAGGGGTGGATCTTTTAAACTACCCAAACCCACCCTGGCTACAGGCCTGGTTTAGTACTTTTGTAAATGACATGGAGTACATAGAAAATAATTGTTTATTACATTTTATGAAAATCAATGAAATATGGTAATTTACTGTGTTTTTAAAATGACTTTTGACAACCACGATGCTTTTTACAGTGTAGACTTTTTTTTTGGATCATTTAGTTTAAAGAGTGCATCTGTCTCCACACATTTACTTCAAATTATGGATTGCACTTCCTGTTAGGGCAACTTCCATTTGAAAGAACTAAAACAAATCACTTCAAAAAATAAGTTGACACTACAAACAATCCATAAACATTGTGAAAACTGAGTTTTTTGTTTAATTTTTATCTGCCATAACAATAATGTGACATTAAACTCAAAAGCGCATTTGTAGAAAAAAAGCTCTTTTGAGTTGACTATGGGTATTTGTTCTTTTAGACTATTTTCTCATTGTATTTTCAACAGTACATTAAGATTAAAAGGTTGAATTTTACTATTTGATGGATAATTTTAGGAGAATGACTGCTCACTGAAAAAAAATTCAACTGATTTAGTTTAAAGCATCATGGGATGCAGAAAAAAAGTGGAAGAAGTTTTTTTATTTGGGCAAACTACCCATTTAACACACAAAATGTTTTAATTCCTTTCAAATTATTATTGTTTAATAATTAATGCCTGTTTACACCAAAGATTATAATTATTTTAAAATGAATTAAAATGTATAATTTTTTAAAAGGTGTTATTATAACAGTGTATATATTATTCATTATCTGAAGTTGATCAAAAAGTCAAGAATTGGTGTTGTTCAGTAGTATTAGGCAACTTTTATGAGTAGTTCATATGTAGACTAAAGCACACAAGTAATAATGGCAGAAGAACTAAATAGTGTGGAATCACCTCCGAGTTATGAGTTCAACAACAGAGTGCTGATAGAAGTCTCAAAAGGTCAGCGCTAATGATGTGACCTTGTGTTCCTAATGACGCAGCACATAATATTGCGCTACAGTTCTGGAGAATTACACTTATGTGTGCATTTAAACTTTTTAGGTTATGACAGAGATTGGAAAAAGCGGCACATGAAATCACACTTCAGAGTCCTGCAGAAAACTGAAGCGCTGCTGTTCCAGTGTACTCTCTGTGTGTGTTTGGGTGGTTTGGATGGTGTTGCAGTTTGGATGAACCCACTACTGCAGTCTCCCCTCCCAAACTCCAGCCCTCGGCCACAGCTGTTCAGTGGTCCCCTTGACAGCCATCTATTTGAGCTTATGCGCAGCAAAAACCCATCGGACCACATGCATCCCAAAAATCATGCACACAGACTTTTTTTTTTTTTGAGTTCGACTTTTTTGCTTCACCAGAGATATTCAAAGCGTGCACTGTTTGCGTATTGGTTAAAACGGCGCTCAGGAAAGGCAAACCCCAGCGAGAAGTTCCGCTTTGTGGGTTTCACCATAGGTAATATGACTTTAAAGGAACAGTTCACCTGAAAATTACAATTCTGTATTTGTTTAAAGTTTAAACTGCTATGGGACTAAAAAGTCATTAATGTTTGACTGTCAAAAATAAAGGTTCTTTATTAGCCCAGTACTGGTTCTACGGAGAACTATGGTATCCTTCCAATCCCCAAAGGGTTTCTTTAAGCAGGGTTTCTGTAGGTTTCAGAGTCAATTTGAAGACTTTTTAAGACCATGAAGTATGAAATTTCAGATTTATTTAGGGTTAAATGCACAGGATTTTTTTCATGGCCCATCAAAATAAATATTTACTTGCCCCATCAAAAAAACATTTTGATTAGCTCTTTCTAACACACATATTTAGAATAATGTAAAACCAAGCAGACCCTAGTTGTATACAAATATTTTTCAACATAAATTAAAAACTAAATGTATGGACAACAGACTGTAACAGTTTTTGTTAAAGATTATTGAGATGTATTGTTGGTCATTGAATGTGCTCGTGGCACAGTTGCTGAGTGGTTAGCACTGTCGCCTCACACCAAGGGTGTCACGGTGGCGCAGGCTAGGTCAGTTGGTATTTCTGTGGAGTTTGCAAGTTCTCCCTGTGTTCACATGGGTTTCCTCTGGGTGCTCTAGTTTCTCCCACTATGCAAAGACATAAGCTATAGTCATGAACTAAGCCGAAGTATAGTTAATGAATGAATGGATGCGTGTTGGATCGATTGGATAGCTTTACATAAACAAGGTAAAATTAAGACCCGCTTAAAATTATTTAATACCTACAAGTCAGTATTTCCGACTTTAAATTGTAGAGTTAAATTAAGACTTTAAATGGTCAATTTTTAAATTGTCAGTAAATTGTATTTTTTTAAAGAACTATCCATTTAAATTATGTTCAAACCAAATCTGGCTAAGTATAATGATAAAAAATTTAAAACACACACACAAAAAAAAAATAAAACAGCAGAAGAGCAATGTAGCTTGAATTATGAGCAAATTATTTTTTCTTACTCTAAAAAATCCAGGTTGCCTTAGATTTTTAACTTGAATTAAATCAAACTTATGATTTTATTATACTTGTACTTTATTAAACTTACTTAAAACCACTTGTGTAAAATTATTAAATTAAGTTGTAACATGATTAACTAAGTAATAAGTTACAATGAACTAAAGCACTTGCTGTTCTGACTAATTGGTTGTATATTTTTTACAGTGCAGAAGGTAAACTACTAAAATATTGCCAGCCAAGCTCCAGCAATTCAAGGGACACCTTGATACTAGTGATCATCTTGTAAACTAAAGTATTCAATATGATGATATACCCATGGCAATGCTCTTTTTATATTTGGTTTAGGTCAGGGGTGTCCAAACTCAGTCCTGGAGGGCTTGTGTCCAGCAGAGTTTAGCTACAACTTGCTTCAACACACTTGCTATGAGGTTTCTAGTATATCTAGTTAAGAGTTTAAACTGGTTCAGGTGGGTTTAATTGGGGTTGAACTTAAACCCTCAAGTACACCGGCCTTTCAGGACTGAGTTTAGACACCCCTGGTGTAAGTAAACAGAAATGCTATTTATGAAGAATGCCATTTACAGTGATGTGAGACACTTTTTAATGAAAACTCTTTCCCCTGCAACAAACTAGCCTGATCAAGTAACAACTAAAATTGTGGTTAAAATCCCTTACAATATTGAATGGAAGTTGCTGCTACTTAAAATGATGCTGGTAAAGTCATTAAAATAGTTATGAAATTATGTATAACGTTTATTTAGAGACTATAGAGGACGGCTATGAAAATATGGAACCTAAATAGAAACTAAATATTAGTGAGATTGCATTACTCAATCTTCTTACTCTGCCAAATTGACATTCAAGTCCACAATGTCTTTTTAATTTCCAGCCAAAAACTGTAATGCACAAATCACGCTAAAGTTTTAATACAAACAATCTAGAAAGGCCTTATATTTTACAATAGAAGAGCAATTAACTAATGAAAGCGATTATATTTAAGCTGCAGTCACTAAAACCGCAGTATGCACACGAAATGAATATTATCATCATTGGCTAATTATCGTTATTGGTTATGATGTACCATATTTTTTGTTAAATGTGACTTTATATACAGTAGCCTACTCTGTGCTTGGTCTCTCCTGATGCTCTCCAGTCTTCTTTAAAGCATAAACGCTGCCTCTCCACTATCTGCTGAGACTTCTGCTCCCCGGGGCTGAAAATTTACAAGTGACCTCTGCATTCCAGCTCAGAGCTGAACCCCTTCCCCCTTTTCCCCTTTGGAAAATTCCACTGCTACTGAGGTAGTCGAGTGCTTCAGGGAGGGGTTTTAGGACTCAGACGCCACCTCTCCAAAGCTACAACACAGACAGGATACAAAGCAAAGAGTGAGCTGGAAGTCTATTTAATGAGGTTAAAACAATCTGCAGACTGTCATGTGAAAAATATGCGTTGTAAAGCGCAAATAAAATAGAAAAGTATGGCATTCATATAAATGTTCTGGCACAAAACTGAATAAATACTACTGAAAGTGACGTCCTAATATGGCATAATTGAGAAAATATGCACAAATGAGAACCTAAATATAAGCAAACTGACTTTGCATGCGGATGCAAATGTTTTAAAATACAAATGTGTCCAACAGTATAGATTTTAATCTGCTGGATTTGGTCAAAATCACTGTGCAACTCTTAAAGCCATACACTTTTTTTTTTTTTTTCGTCCAGCTGAGACAAACAGACAAGAGTTGCTCTATTATGACATCTGCTGGTTCACATCAGCACTGTTGTTTTTTTTTATAGCGCAAAATGTGCAGATTCAGTCAACTGCTATCTGATCAATCGTTATAAGCTGTTAAAAACTGGTTTTCCCCACAAACATTGCACAAAGTAAAACTTGCATAATCTCAGCACTACAATGAAATGTATTGTGCATGACTTGAGTCCAAAACCCAGGGTTTGGAGTTTCCAAAAACTGAAGTGTTGGAAACTAGATTTACTACAGCTTGTTACAGTACATTAAAAACGACTGTGAACTTAAAATAGCAAATAGACATAATTGTTGCACATTTTAAAAACTTCTATCAGCTAGAAATGAGTCACATGTATAAATGATCATGGCAGGATTATAAAAGCATACAAAAAAATAATAGAAATGTACCTACAACATCATGTTTAACCCTGTATAAATGTTTAAAAACATCCCCCCCGATACACACTATTCCATCTCCAGCTAAACCATTCTCACTCTTTTACAGCTGTCGATATCAGTAGCTTTTGTTCAGTGTCTTTGCGAAGAAGCGCACAAAACTCTAGTGTAGTCATGTGACCTTGATAAACACCATTTTATTGAATCAACTCTAGGTTAAAAAAGTAATATAAGAACCCGACAATGCTTGAACTATGTGTGAATGAGGTCAAACAGGGAATGTGTTCAGCAAATCAGCCACAAGAGGGAGTATAATCGCTTCCGTTTTATGGAGGGAAAATAAAATCATGGAAGAAAAGTGTGTAGAAATAGATAGAAATGTCCCTTTACACACTTACATGATGACGATTGTCTGTCCTCCTGCAAGCAACAGTGATAAGATCGAATAGCGGATAAAAAGGGCCAAGGTTGACATTTTAAAAGATATTTTTACACAGATGTTAAAATTTATCCAAATGTCCTGATTTTAGTCTGGGTAATAAGATATAGATCATTTAGGTAGATGTACTGATAAAAAACAAACAAGCCCAATAAAAATCGTATGATAATTTGGCCCACAAAGGACTTTTTTTAAAGTTAAAATTGCAATAAAGCAAACTTAAATCTACTTGATTGGGGGAAAAAAAATAAGCAAAATGCGAACGGCATCAATTAAGAAGCAGTTTTGTAAATAAAAAACGATGGCGTCGCTTTTTCATCCAGCATTGCAGATGTTAACGAACGCAAACTCGACTGATTTCATTCAGTCATGTTCCGCAATACTGTGAAATCTGAACGAATAAAAGTTAAAAGTTGGACATGTACGGGTTTTTTTTCATCGTTTCACATCTACACTAGCACACAACACATCATAAGAACATAGTTGTAGGGGCACGAATACACAAATCATGACAAAACAGAAGGAAGATCAGAGAGAGTAAGAGAAGTAAGAGTTTTCCACATTCCACCGCTCTGCCGCAGCCACCGTTCGCTCTGTCTGATGAGAGATGTGTTTTGGTGAAGGTGGACGGAGGTTGTTGTGGTGGGCAGTAAACCTCCGATACTCGCTGGCCTTTCGTTTTCTAAATGGTCCGTTAAAAGTTGGCTATGAGAGTGTCATCGGTGCAAGGTTTTGGAGGACTGTATGTCTTTCCCAAACCTCTGCCCTTTACACCGCTGTGGCACTCTTCTCCTTCTTGTCTCCGTCTTCATGCCAGGTCAGACGCTCCTCGTAGAAGGCAATGACAATCTGTGGGCACTTGTGATTGGCTTCTTTTGCAAGCACAAGGTCTGCCTCGTCAGAGTCCTTCCTGTAGCAGGACAGCAGAAACACAGTAAAGTTAATTTCGCAGCAAGTGCAGTGTTTCCTCTAGGATTTTTTTTCAGCTGTGGCAGCAGACCTTTTAGACAAATAGAAATACCTATGGCGTGGTTTCAATGACAAATGGACAATGTTGTGAGCGAAGTATTACAGGTCAAGATCGTATTTACGTGCTCTACTCTCCAATACGCGCTGATTTCCTCTGCTTGTGCACAAAACCTCTTGCACGCCCCCTTAATTATACGCGGCTCAAGCACAGATTGTGCGCTCTCAAATAAACACAGCTTAAGTGCGATTTACGCCGTTTATGTAACAAGTATGTCTTCAACATTTAATATTTATGAATGTCTCCAATTGGACCTACAGAGCGGCATTAATGCATCTTAAAGTAAAGTGAAACGGCTATAAACTCCAGCAAGATAAAGTCATTATGTGCAGAACCACAGACCTTTATCTAAAAATAAAGTATAATTATGGAAACTGTTAATCTTAACTGAAAGCTACGCATGTTTGCTGGCCTCACGAATCATGCATGCACCTGTCAGTCAGTCAGCACGTAACCTAAAAGGGTTAAAGATAGCAAACAGCACTACTACTATTACAGAAAAATTTGTGCTATTATAATTCACTTATCTTTTAATACATTTTGGTGCGATTATTATAATCCGCTATTAAAAACAACAACAACGACCTAATGTTTTGAAAGGGTTAATGTTGCCGTGGAGGGATTTTGATGTGGGGCCCAATTTACAGATGTAAATTAGAAATTTCTGAATATGTGATAGTGAACACTGAAATATGCAGAAAATGGAAGTTTCATTGATTGTAAAAATGTAAGCTGACTTATTTTACTGTAACATTTGACGCATGGTTAGAGACTATTAGACTAATAAATGGTTTATAATGCCAAGCATGCTTTACAATGCAAAAGGTAACAGAGGCAAAAAACGGATCTATACAAAAAATCCAGCATAAATTGTTTGCTAAGCTAAATACAACCTTAAAGTTGGTTTACTAATCAAGAAATGCAATTACTTAAAAACAGATGTAAACTGTAAATAAGGTAAACAAATAAATGCAGAGTGTACACTCCATTGAACGCTTTCAAACATACAACTGTAAATAGTTGGAGAAAGGAGAGAAATGAACAGTTCCATCCTCATCCTCCATCCTATTCAGTCACACAAAGGGTGTGAATGTGCTTTTTAAAAAGGGACATTAGAATAATTTCCAGACATAATGGCAGGTGTAAATGTGGCGATTAACACTATGGTTTCAACCTCCACTTCAGGTGATTCAATCAAAATTGTCCAGCTAAACACAGCCTGCCTTATTTTTATCATTAGCATGTATCTTGAGGTCCCCATGTGCTTGGATCCAAATAAAATCGGAGTACTTAATTTTTAGTCTAAAAGCTGTTTTGAAAAAAAGAGGCCTTGATTTTAGATTTTAAAGAGACGGCTCATCTAAAAATGAATATCCCAGCATCATTTTACTCAACCTCCACTTTGTCAAAACCTGTTTGAGTTGTTTATTCTTTGTTTTTCTTACTATGGATGCCAATGTTTACCAGTTTTTTTTCTTCGAAATATCTTTTGTTCTCTCATTCACTTTCTTTCGGCTTAGTCCCTGATTTGTTAGTAGTATCTTAGTAGTATGTTTAACAGAAAAAAACAGAAACTATAAGCACTGCAATCACCCGAGGCTAAGTAAATGGTGAGTAAAATTTGTTGTGTAAACTATCGCTTTAATAAATCTATGGCCAGATTTTGTGACTTGATATTAACTGTTTCCAAGCACTGAGCAAAACAGTTTCACTGAAATAAACAGCTTTTCACATGCAATACTCTGTAGTACTCACCACTTCATAAGGAACATAAGGTCTCCACAGGAGTCTGTTGCTCCAATAATCTTCTCAGGCTCCAGGCCTCGCTCAAACCCTCTCGCTACAAGGATCTCATCCTAAGAAAAACAAAAACAACAATCAAAACCACGTTAAAAATCAATAGTCACCCTTTCCCAATGCCACTTAGGCAAGTATTGATGTGAGAAACAATTGAGAAAGTATTTCAGCACACTGGACGTAATTGATATGGTAATAGCATGCAAATAACTCTAAAGTGTGAGCTCTCTCACACTCTCTGTAAATACTTTACCTCCTTTTTCTTCTTGGGTTTGCTGCTGCTCCCGTTCTCTTCCTCGGAGTTTTTCCTCTTGCTGGTGCTGCTGCTGCCACTGCTGTCTTTGGGACGGGCTGAAGAGGGGCCTGTACTGGAGGACTTGCTGCTTGGTGGGCTTGCACTGTTTCCTTTTTTGTAGGTCTTCATGAACTCAGAGATAAGCTCTGGACAGTCCAGGTTCTTCTCTGGTTCCCATGTGTTGTGTTTCCTGCAAGACATTAAATGCATGATCTATTAAAGCCACTGGATTTCTTCAAATCAAGGGTGCAAACTAATACAGGCTAAACGTTCAAGTGAAGTTTTATGTAATATTTTGCCATAATTCTATGATTTCTAAATTCAAGGAAGATGTTCAAACACAAATAAGCAAACCTAACAATTAGATACTGTGACAATAAGCCAATAAAGAGTTATAAAAAAAATAATAATTTGGGCACAAAATCTCTTGACTTTTAATAGGCTACTGACACAAAATGCTGCTTTGGAACATCTTTTTTCATAAACCTGTAACAAACTTTTCACGTTTAATTTTTTATGTTTATTGTTAGGGATGTCCCGATCAGCTTTTTTGCCCTCGAGTCAGTCATTTGATCTTGAGAATCTACCGATACTGAAAACCAATCCGATACTTCTAAAACACAAACAAAAAGAATAAAGAAGAGCTAAGAAACAGATCCAGGATGTTCCTTATACTTTAATTAAATCACCTTATTTTAACAACTCCGTTTGCTATAGCAATGTTGTCGTCATAAAATTTATAATACCTCCAAATCACAGATATACTCACGATTTACGCTGCTTTCATGTTTTACTTTGCTGGCATTTGACCAAATGAAAGTGGTCTAACTCTGTGCCACTGCTATATATATATATATACACACACACACACACACACACACACACACACACACATATATATATTTATTTATTCGAGTCCTGATCAGAAGTTAACGTCCGATTCTGAAAGCGCACGTCTGGGCCTGAATTTTGGTCATGTGATCGGATCTGGACATCCCTATTTATTGTGACAGTGAATCATTTTTTTATGATTTTGAATGTAAATTGCCTTGAATTTTTGCATGTATCTCACACAATGAACATTCACTTTCTGGCTAAGAAACATTTACTATTTTCTTCACTTTATTTTTTGTAGAGTAACTTTTGTAGAGTAGCTTTTGCATTCAAATAAGCATTAGTTTTTTCTGCTAAGATATTTAACAAGTTTTACAGTTACACCACACTTTCTTTGAACAGGTACATTTTTAAATCTGAATATTACAACTGGTCAAAAATATTTGGAAAAAACTAAAAGAAAAGAAAATGCATTTTATTTTTTCCATGATGCCCCGTCTAACTGCAAGCAAACCCCAGTAAGTAAGCCAGATCATTAGTATTTAAATTAAGAGCATTTTCATTGTATCTGAACTGAGTCTCTTTTCATGCATTTTAAGACATCCTGAAACACATACCAGGGGTCCTGAGACATGAAAACTATCGCTCAGACAGTACTGGATTATGCAAAATGCAATAAGCACTTACTCTGTAAAGCCTTTCCATTTGAGGAAATACTCCACACGCCCCTTCACAACTCTCCTGTCCAAGACCTTCTCCACAACGTACTCTTCCTCATCTGAGGAAGCAGCTTCATCATCTTCACGGTTCTGGCTCTTCTTTCCCATGGCTGATTCTGAAAGTCTTTACTACAAGCAAATTTGACCTGTGTGGCTCCCTGGTCTGGGGAGGAAAGTGGTTGAACTGAAATAAAAAAATTATTACATAACTATGTGTTTGTATTGATGACAATCAATTTATTTTTATTATTATGTTATTTACTAGGGCTGGGCAATTAATTGAAAAGTAATCAAAATCAACATTCAGAAACTATAATCAAATTTTCCCAGGACAATTTTTTTCAATTACTTTCCCTACAAGTCACGTAACCCCGCTCTGTTAAAGGCTGTGGCCGATTTCTACTTTTGCGGCAACTTTGCAGCCACAACTGATCCTTGGTCAAGTAAGACGATGGACTCATTCTTAAGCCTTACTTTGCACTACACTCAAGGATTGGAAACTGCGCCAGAGATGCCTTCAGACAGCATATAAAACTTGTCAGAGAACTACGAGGGAAAATAATCATTCATTAATTAATTGTAATAGAGTTAAAATGTTCAATTAATTGAGATTTAGATTTTAGGCCCATAAATCGCCCAGTCACATTGATTACTATACAATGAAAAAAGTTATATAAAAAATAAAATTTTGCAAATAAGACTAATAAAAATCTGTATTTGACCATATTAATTAAAACACTCTTCCTGATATGAACTGAAGTAAATGCATTGGACAACATGCGAAACAAACACCTGATGATCTATGGACTATAGGTTTTGCCAAATATCTACACATCTAATTATAATGTTATTTTATATAAAAAAAACAGTAACAAGAAATAGAGATTTGGACAAAAAGACTAACCATATATTATTTATATTTTAAATCTGCACAAAATTAACATCAAGTTTCAAGACAAATTGTTAATTTATTAACTTCACAACTGATTTTTAAAAGCAAATAAAAGCTTTATTTCTATTGTATCTTGTTTTCTTAGCTTTACTTATATATTTGTCACCTCAATTACACTAACCATTTACTTTAATAATTACTCAGTGTCCAAGAACACAAAACAATGCTTACTTAGCACTAGTTTCTTTTGTAAAACTGAATGTCTTGGATAAAAATATCACAGTATTGTGATCACTGCTCTACAATATATTCTTTTTAATTGTCTGGTTTAAAAAAACAAACACTTTTTCCCTTTGAATACAAAATATTTTATTTTAAGATGCATAACATTTTTTGGGAAAGTAATCATGTTAGGCTAAAGAATTAAAACAAATCATTGATTTCTGCTGTCTTCATTCAGATTTCTCTATAATTTAAAACGGCATTTAAGGATATCTTTTCTGCTAAAGATAATGTTGTCGTTAAAACGTAGATAAAAAAAACTTACATATACCATAGGAACAATATAGCATTATATTTTGGTGGTTTTAAAACCTCGACTTTTCCAAATTGCGGTATACCTTGAAAACGCTTATCGCCCCATGCCTAGTATAAGCTACATTCTACAAGACAGTATTGAATGCTGTCTATATCATGTAAACTCTACTTCCAGCAAAAACGACTACATTAATTATGCATAACGTGATCACAACAAAAAGTAAGCAGTAGGGTCAAAATCTTACTGGTTAGAGGAAAACTTATTACTCTAACAGCAATGACAAAAGTCAACATTTGCTTTTCCTGCACTCACCTACAGTCTTCTATTGTTGGGCGTGACCTCCTAAAGAGCAGAGATGAGTCCTGGATTACAGCATTCAGAGCTCCCCTAAACAAATAAAGTTTATTTAAACACTAAAAAAATGTGTATTGATAAATTCTTAAAACTCTGATCTTACACTCAGCTCTAATAAACGTATCCTACATATTTCTTTGGAAATATACACGCACTAAAGACCTATTAGACTTCGATTTAAATTATTTTAAACGTACACTCCACAATAATAACAACAACAGATTGTTTACGAAACAACTAGTAAAAGTGGGACACTTTTTTCATTGTTAAATCTAACATAAACGCATTGCACTAATGTCAGCATTTGCCTACAAGACACATTTAACAACTCTAGCTCCAGGAATGCGATAAATCGGCCATGTGTTCTTATCTAAATGTCATCAAAAATTTTAGCAAGCATGCAAGGCCAAACTGTGTGAAAACACCTAGCAGACCTGCACAGCTTGTCCTACCATATGCAATCTAATTTCCAATAATTATATTTCAATATACACAACATACAAACAAATCGTGAACGTATTTATGTGCAGTGCTAGCTGCAATGCTAACATTTAGCAAGAGAAGGATCATTGATTGCTACTGTTTGCGTCGCTAAAAGCTCATTCTGCTAGAAAACTATATATAAAACTTACGTGTTTGAGAAATAAGTACATGTATTTCACAATGCTGTTTTTGATATATGACGAACTATAAGCAAGCTTAGCAGGTCACCATCGCCTGCGAAAAAAACAATAAACAAGAATCCCCGATGTTTAGGCACAAGATAGCAGGCTAATTTAGCGTCATTAGCACACACGCGCTACTTCTTTCCACGATTTTCACCGTTTAACAGCTGCAAACGAGTCGTTTACATGAGTTTTCGCATTTATTTGAGTGCTATCGTCGTGCTCGCTAACGCACCGAGCCTTTGCTTAGCAACAGCGCGGGCCGAGCAGAACAGATTTCACCTGATCCTATCACGTTTTAAACGTGGCATTGACAGCGCTGCTCGCTCCCAATGCAAAGCGAATCCACAATGACACATTTGTACATTAATGTGACGGATTATGTCATACTTACTGAGATATTTTTCGACGTTTCTCTATTCGTGCTGGATAATGAGGCTGAGGCGGCGGCGGCTTTTTCCTTGCACACAGAGTTTGCTGCCTCTCGCGCATGCATCCGTCCAGCGGCGCGTTCAGCCAATCAGCGTGCGCCTCAGCGAGCAGCTCTCGCGCCAAAAACGGCCTCGGCGCATACAATGGGATGCGCACGCGTCACACTGAAACCAAATCCACACAATTCGAAGAACATTTCAGATTTATTTATTATTGTTAAGCAATAATACTATTTAAAAAATGAATAATAGGCACGAGTGTACATGCGAAAGTGGTGTATGTAATATGAAGTAATATGAAGGAACTTATAGTCTGAATCTTTTAACCCACCATACAATAAAGACCACTTTTTGTGTTTCATAAAAAAGATTCTTCAGCTTTCTGAATAAAATATTTTAGAATTTTTTAAGCACTAGCCTCTTCTATGGATTGACTTGAGTGTCATCCAATCAGATGTCTTTAAAGCGCCAAACAAAAGCATTAGCGGGAAGCCTGAACCAATCATCGTTCCCGGTGGGAGGGGACTGAATTCATCCAAGCTATTTATGGTATCTCCCTTCTTCTCAGTGCGTGTCTCACCGACAAGCGTGTGGCGTAGCACGGACAGAAATAGTCGGTAGGATGTCCAAAGAGGTAAGTTGGCGTTATTATCAATATAGCGCTTTCGAATGAATATATATAATGCGCCAAGCACGTAGTCGTAGCGCCCTTGATGTTATATAATTCAGCTTGCACCGCATTTGTGGTTCTTTGTTAATGTAAGCGTGTTCGAGCCGCCATTTTAACTCCTGTAATGTGCACACATAATTTAGGCCGCATGGCTTCATCGAAGGTCGTGTTTTGCAAAATCGGTATTTATTTGTTTTATAACTTTTCAGTCGTTGTTTCGAGCCATGTTTGCACGCATTTACAACCTCATGTGTTTTGTTGGAGGGAGTGCGCGGTTTAAAATTGGACGTATAGTCCTGCACTAACATGGCGGATGTTTCGTTCACCTCCCCCCAAATAGAGTGCGTTACCGTATGGATTCACGACGCTTTTTGTTCCAGTAAATCCTTGGTTTGATCTCCGTTACCGATAATAAACACTATGCACATTGCTGCTGTGATTCTAAACCGAAATCGGTTGTTATTTCCAGGGCCAGCCACGTGAGCCAGAGCAGCTGCGGAAGCTCTTCATTGGAGGGCTCAGCTTTGAGACCACAGACGATAGTTTAAGGGCACACTTTGAACAATGGGGCACCTTAACAGATTGTGTGGTAAGTTCCTTTTAATATTTTAAAGCTATTTGAAATTTATTAATGCTTTGCGACATAAATTTCAGATTTATTTTATGCCACAACGTTAGGTGTTTTAATCAATGTTTCTGTTTTCTTTTAGGTGATGAAAGATCCAAACACAAAGCGCTCCAGGGGCTTTGGGTTTGTTACTTACTCCAGTGTGGATGAAGTCAATGCCTCTATGGATGCACGTCCTCACAAGGTCGATGGTAGACTTGTAGAGCCCAAACGAGCCGTGTCTAGAGAGGTGAGGTTAACTTTGTAATAAAATGTAAGGAAATTAAGGCTTGAATTTGGATGTCTAATTATGTATGGGTTACAGGATTCCAGCAAACCATTTGCTCACACAACTGTGAAGAAGATTTTCGTGGGAGGCATCAAGGATGATACAGAGGAGAACCATCTACGCGACTACTTCGATCAGTTTGGAAAGATTGAGGTTGTTGAGATAATGGTTGACCACAAGACCGGAAATAAAAGAGGCTTTGCCTTCGTCACATTTGATGACCATGACTCTGTTGACCGTATCGTCAGTAAGTGCTGTGTTTCACGGTCAATCTAGTAGTCTTGGAACTTAAAGAAATGAGGTGCTAACAAATGTATTTTCTCCTTTAGTTCAAAAGTACCACACTGTGAATGGACACAACTGTGAAGTCCGAAAAGCTCTTTCAAAACAAGAAATGGCAAACACTGGTATGAATGTTTATTAATATTAACTATTGTTTCCTACTTTCCCCTGGTGTTTTAATGGATTGCGGTGTATTTTGTTAATCTGTAGGTCGTGGTGGTGGTGGTGGAGGCGGCGGCGGTGGAGGAAACTTCAACCGATATGGCAATAATGGTGGCTACAATAATGACTTTGGAGGTGGCGGTGGAGGTGGCAACCGTGATGGATATTTTGGAAGAGGTATGTGCCTGACTGGATTCTGAAGATTTTAATGTTATTTCTTTGTAACTTAGTAGTTTTACTGTTATTTTAGGAGGAAGAGGAAATAACTTTGGAGGTGGTGGTGGCGGCGGTGGCTATGGAGGAGGCGGTGACTGCTACAACAACAACAATGGATTTGGAGGAGGTGATTTGTATGAACTGGCTCTGTTTTTGACAATTTCATATCCTGTGCCATCAGCATGTTTACAATTTATTTTTGGCATTTTCTAGGTGGCTACGGCGGTGGTGGCGGCAATGGTGGTGGCAGTCCTGGCAACTATGGAGGCAACCGTGGATATGGAGGAGGCGGTGGAGGAGGACATGGTTATGGCAACCAGGGAGGAGGCTATGGTGGTGGCAACAGTGGTGGCGGTGGTGGTGGCTATAATAACTACAACAATGGCAATGGAAACTTTGGAGGTGGTGAGTAGATGTTAATCATGATGCAAGTCCTTGAAGAACTCTATAACTATAGAGACTAATGGGGTGTATTATCAATTCAAGGTAACTTTGGAGGTGGTGGTGGTGGTGGCGGCAACAGTGGAGGAGGTGGAAACTACAATGACTTCGGCAACTATAATAGCCAGCAGTCCAACTATGGTCCCATGAAAGGGAACTTTGGAGGCGGTGGAAGAAACAGTGGCCCATATGGTGGTGAGTTAACCATTCTTTTTAAAGTGATTAGTTCATCCTAAAGGCATAAATGACGTGAGCTAATTCCAAACTTTTTTTTAGAGTTTCTTTTGTTATGCATGAGATGTTATCAAAAGAATTAGAAACTTGAAATGGTAGTAAAAGCAAATAATATAGATGTCAATGTTTGCAGCTTTCCAAAATACTTCAATCTCACCTTAACACTGTAAAATTAACATTCACCTCTGTTTTAGGTGGCTATGGAGGTGGATCTAGTGGTAGTGGAGGAGGCGGCAGTGGTTATGGAGGTGGCTCTGGCGGTAGACGGTTTTAAGCTTAAAGGTTTGTTTTAGATTTTGCTGTCTACCATGCATATAGACTTATAACAGGGGTAACGATCCCAATAAGTTAGTCTTGGACTAAATACTCTAAACTGTAACCTTGCTGTACATCTGGTGTAGAAACAACCCTCAGGTAGTGTGCAGCTTAACATTTGTTGTTCATATTGTTCAACAGGACTGAGTGCTTTAGGAGAGGAGAGCGAGAGAGGTGACAGGGCAGATGCAGGTTTACGTCCCTAGATCTGCTCAGCCAAACAGGTGTGGCAGATTTACAGCTGCCACCAGAAGAAGTGTACAGTAGCGCTATCGTGTGTGGGACATCATGAATTTGTCATCATGCAGATTTATTTTATATTGTCTTTGGGGAAAAGCATTCCAATGAGGTTTTATGTAGAGTTCCTTTCAGTTGTTTTTATTTATGTAACCAATCAAGGTGAAATAAAAACATCATTTTGTTTTTTTAAATGTGCTGTTTTAGTCATTTTTGGTTTCTGGGGGATTTAGTGTAGGACACAGAGCCTTTTTTTTTAATACAAATTAAATGATCTGGCTCAAGCAACTCCACTGAAGTTAAATGTTCATATGTACTTAAAAAAAAAACAACAACAACGGTATAGGCTGTTTAAATGCACATGCCTAGAGTAGTGTACATGTTGCTACATAGAAGTCTAGCCATGGAGCAAGCTGAGAGAGGAGTAGCAAGATCATCGCCCTGTGAAGAAGCAAAGAGCAGGGAGTACAGGGCGCAACTCAAAGACTAGCAGGCAGCGCTTTTATTACTCCTGTAGGTAAGAACAGACTTCTCCACTACTGCTGATAACTGTAAAACAATGTTTATTAGCAGAAGCTGTACAGTTAACGTGAACTTCCCATTCAGTGTTGTATCTTACAGGGGAAGTAACTGCAGTCAGCATAGTTTGGTGCACAAGACTCTGTTAATCTTAAACTGATCATTAATGCATGCCCACCTGTTTTGTTTGTTTTTCCCCCTATGTTGTGTAACTGAATTGCTGACCATGTCACTCTTGCATTTTTCAGGTTTGGATGATTGGAAAAAAATCACCGTCTCGAAATGAAGGCATTTTTATCTAAAATGGCAAAGTGATAAGGTAGTTGCTGATTTTAATGTGGCACTCTAGTTTGTTTACAATTTTCCTCCATCTCAAACTTCTTTCTCTCTTCTAGGACCAAGATGCTGCTGAAGAGACTTTATTTTTATTACCTGTTTTTTACCTTTTTTACAAATAAAATTTTTAATGCTACAAATGTGACTGTCGTATGCTTAACCCATTTATGAAAGCTTATTTGTAATTTTTTTTTTTAATACTGATGATTATTATTATTGATTTTGGAGAGTAATATACAAGTGTTTTTGCAAAGTATTTGCAGTGTGTAGCACAGGGTTCCCACTGGTTTAAAGTTTCTCTATCAATTTGAAAAGGTTTGTTCTAGACATTAGAAGCCAGGGACTTAATTTGTTGATCACAATTATAAATTTGTATAAATGTCATTAGGTAGTAGGTTGCTGACAAAGCTGTGTTATATTTATATTTATATTTATATTTATATTTATATATATATATATATATATATATATATATACACCTGTTAATCATGTAATTTAATTTTAATTTGTTGAGTGAGGGCCAATTTTGGATTTGCCTCAACTAAAGCCCTTTTTAAATGAGGCTTTTCATTCAAACTTCCTGCTTTGTTTCTGTTTTAAGTATGGCCCAAAATGAATTATTTTTTTCCTGTTCCTATTTTTTTTTTTTTAATCAAATTTGACTTTTGTCTTCCAATGGGAACTCTGTATACATTGAAAAGTCTAAACTTTAGCGTTAATGTTTTCTTCTATTTTTTTATTTTATACATGTATGCTTTTGTGTTGGCACATATTCTTAGTCATTTTGTAAATTGTCAACACATGATTTAAAAGATGTAATTCATTGATCATAACATTTACCTCTTACTCAGCCTTTAAGGATTAAGTGAAGGGGTGTCTAATCCTGCTCATGGAGGACCAGTGTAATACAGATTCTTTTGCAACACTTGATTAGACCATATGTAGTGAGGCTGATGATGCATTTGTAGGTTCACTCATGCTTAATTGGTGCAGAAGCAAATCCACATGCACAGTGGCTCTACTCAGGTTTAGACACCCCTTTAAAGGTAGAGTTCACCCAAAAATGCTAACTAATTCATGATTGCGTCATGAGTTTGTTAAACACTACGCTATTTTGAAGAAAGCAGAAAACCTGTAACCACTGACTTCCGTAGAACTTGTTTTTCCTGCTAGTGACGTCTGGTTACTGGTCTGGAGCTTTTTTTTATTTTTTAAACTACATCTTATTTGTTTCAACGGAAGTGAGAATTTCAAACTGGGTTGGAAGCAGTAAAGTTAGTAAATGATGACAGAATTAATGCATTTTTGGGTGAACTATCACTTTAATCAAACATTCATTCACCAGCCAGTGCTGCATTCCGTGGCACGAAGTAAATGTTGCCATCATTCGTTTGCTGTAGTGAATATTCATCAACTGAATATGGATGTCCCTCCTCATCATGCAGCTGGGAAAACACTTGGGTGTGAAGATCTGAGAGCCGACATTTGATGATGGCTATGTTTTGCTGAAACTCCAGTCTCTCTCTGGCTAAATGTTCTCTTTGGGCTCGGAGCTGTCCCAGCTCACTTTCTAAATGCACAATATTCTCCAACTTCCGTTTACGACAGTTCTGAGCCGCAACTTTGTTCTTTCCTCTTCTGCGAATATCCCTTACAAGTGCCAGCTGAGCATCGTTCAGTGTGAATTGGGTCAAGAGCTCATTGAAGTCATCCACTGGTAGGTTCACAATCTTTTCCAGTGAGAATGGGATTTTAAGAGCGAGGGCTCGCCGTTCATCTCTGCTGAGGGGTACAGGAACACTGCTGGATTTACACTTTGGGTATGGGGACTGATATGAACCTACTCTTGAGCTATTTAGCTGTAGATCATCCAAGGCTGTGGGCAAAACTGGTTGCTTTATTGATGCCACCGGACTGTAAGTGTGCAGGTTGCTAGATGGCATGTTTGCAGATGTTGGAAAAGAAGCTCCAGGATATGAGCTGTATGACTGCTGGTAGTCAACAGCCCCATGCAGATTAGGTCGTAGGCGACATTGTTCCCCAATACTTTCACTTTCAGCATAGCCTGTAGAAATATCAGTAGGCAAATATGCAGGAACTCCATGTACTGCGTTCTCAGGAGAAGCGAGCGGCGGACTCGAACCAAGCGACAAACCAGAATCTGACTCCAGATCATCTGTACAAACTTGTTTGATTTGTCCTGTAGAGTGAAAATTAATAATACCATCTTTCACAATCCCATGACCACGTGTAGTCATGTTCATGTGCTCCAAAAGGCTCATAAGAGGTGGGTGAAAACCTTGTGTATTTGCAAGCATTCTGGAAGAACCGTGGCCACCAGCAAGACCGTAGTGCATATCCATGTGTGGATAGGGTGGCATCATTTCCGGGTATGCGCTTTCATATACACCAGAAGGATGGGCATCACAAGTGGCTGGAATGGATTCAGGCTGTGGCTGATTCATCCCGAACCCCCCTTGAGATACCATGGGCTCCATGGAGAGGTATGGAATTGCTTCGAAAGGATTCTCATTGGGTTCCTCAAACTCCTGTGACAAAAACAGTGTGTTTTATTAACAAGAACTTACACCAATCTGTCCTTGGAGGTGATTCAAATCCAACTCTTTTACAATTAAACACCCTGGGAAAGTAGCATGGGTTTGAGCCGAGAAACCATTAATTTGTTCTGGGTTGTGTTCAGTCAGGACCAGCCCACCTGGGTGAATGTGCCACCCTTAGCTTATGCAGGTCTTACTTAGGAGAGCTCAGGTTTCATGTCGAAACAGATGGTCATTGTGCTATGCAGGGGGCTGTCGGCAATATACAGCGCTCACCCTCTTTCTCTGTCTGCCTTTATCCTTGCATCACTCAATTGGCCCATTGTTGCAGATCGTAGCTCAATGTGTGTGTTTATAGGGATTCAGCATTAGAAAAAAATGAAAAAGACCACCGTTTCATGAAGGCAGCTTGTATTCTACCACTAAACAATCAAATGTTTTTGACACTAGAAAAGTGTACCGACCTGAAGTTCTGTGATGGCCATTAGTTCCTGCCAGGCCAAGTCCATCTCCAAATTCTGGGGGGAACGATGTGTCCGTAATCCAGTGACATTGGTGGACATTGATACCTCCCCATGCAGTCGTCCAGGGTTTGGCAGTCCCTTGAATTGAAAATACAGCTGGGATTAATATACAATTGCAACAAAATGGCATATTGTCTTTTAAATAGTGTTAAAGGTTACACTTTATACTGTTGACTGTAAATAACTTTGCAACTGCTTGTCAGTTAACTTCTTTAGTTAGGGTAAAGTTTGGATTAGGATTAGCTGAATACATTACCGCAAACACCTCAACTTATTCTGCTAACTCTGATACCTAACAGTTTTTTAAAATTGGGTTACACTTTAATTTAAGGTGTCCTTTTTTACAGTGTAACTATTCCTTTAACTATTAAGTAATTACATGTACTAACTATTCGCTTAAGTCTTAAGAATACTGTTTCCAGGTCCAAGTTGCTACTCGCTTGAATTGAGAAAATATTTGTTTATGACCACATTGTCATATCATACATTAAAGTGAATTTTATATGAAATCATGGTGTACTTAACAGTCTCTGGACTTGCTGCATCGCAGACACCAATATTTGAACAATTTATAAAAAATGTACCACATTCTATCTATATATTGTGATTTTTGAAAGTAATACATCGCTTTGTAAATATTATTATTACCATTTGTTGAGTCTCCCCGTACAGTTAAATATAGCGTTTGGACCCGGAAGCCGATTTTTTTGTCAAATTATTCATAGCCGAATATTGTTAGGGTTAGTCTAATGTAATTCCAATAATAAGCGCATGGAACATATATCAAGGACAACTGAAAATAAAATGCTGCTACATTTTATGACCATCTATCAAATTTTATTTAATAAAATAAATATATAATACATTTTTACTGACATTTTTTTTCAGTATACATACCAAAAATCTGTTAATTATCATTTGGTTACTAATTAAAAAGTTATATTTAAGGATTATTAATATTTACTACTTACAAGATTTTCACACTGTCAGACCAGTACATTTTACCCATTTGTTTACCAATTTCACTTTAATGACCTACATTCTAATATAATTTAGTTGGATTGCATTTTTCTTATATTTCAATGAGAAAAAGTGAGAATGAGTATCAATGGCATTGTAACATTATTTCACCCTTAACTTAACTCTTTTGAAACACTAATACACTTTCTAACAGCGTTGTTATACAATAATACACATTACATACAGCTGATCAAGTGTATGTCTTTCTGCATTTGTCATATTTTTTCCCAGGCTTTATTTTGAAATAAAAAAATGAAAAGTCTGTCATTATTCACACACCCATTATTTAGTTTCAAACCTGTTTGAGACCCGCTTGAACACAAAATAAGTTTGTTTGAAGAAAGCTGGAAGCCTCTAACCATTGACTTCCATAGTATTTCTTTTTCTATAAACTAGCTGGCAGCTAGCTCTCTGCAACTGTCACATGGTCGCCCACTGAAGCTAAGCAGGGCTGCGCCCGGTCAGTACCTGGATGGGAGACCACATGGGAAAGCTAGATTGCTGCCGGAAGAGGTGAAAATGAGACCAGCAGGAGGTGCCCAAACTGCAGTCTGTGTGGGTCCTAATGCCCCAGTATATTGAAGGGGACTCTATACTGCTCAGTGAGCGCCGTCTTTCGGATGAGATGTTAAACCGAGGTCCTGACTCTCTGTGGTCATTAAAAATCCCAGTATGTCCTTCGAAAAAGAGTAGGGTTTAACCCCGGCATCCTTGCCAAATTTGCCCACTGGCCTCTGTCCATCATGGCCTCCTAACCCTCCCTAAATAATGATTGGCTTCATCACTCTGTCTCTTCTCCACCAATCAGCTGGTGTGTGGTGTTCAAAACGGCTGCCGTTGCATCATCCAGGTGGATGCTGCACACTGGTGGTGGATGAGGAGATTCCCCCCAATGTGTAAAGCGATTTGAATGCCCAGAAAAGCGCTATATAAATGTAAGGAATTAATATTATTATTAATATTATTAAAACATAACAGTGAGCTTTATCAAATGATATGAGTGTGGTTAACTCAAATTTTACTGAAAGTTAATTATACTCATTTGACAAGAATTTTGAACTCAGTCTTGAGGGTAATGAGTTAATTAATCAACCTCATTACTTCAACTTAAATGGAGTAAGGTTACGGTTCTTATGTAGATTAGTTTTTTTAACTAAAATGGTTTATTGCAATCGGTTTCCTCAAACGGTTTGAGTTGTCTTGGGTTTTACAGTACTCAGCTGGTTTGAGTTCTCTACAATTATTAGGTTTTACTGTGCTCAAATTACTTCAATTGATTAAGTTCACAGTACTCATTAGGATTAGTTTTTGAACTTAAATAGTTTGTTTCCTCAAATGGTTTGGGTTACCTTAACTTTTAAAGTGTATAAAAGTCAATAGAAGACAACCTTCTCTAGTGTTCAACAGAAGAAACTCATAGGGGTTTGGATTGGAACCACTTGAGTGTGAGTTAGTGAGTAAATTTGGTATGAACTATCATAAGAGCAAGGTGACAGAACATTACAATTTAAATATTTAATATTTCAATTTAAATGATATATGTTTTAAAATCCCTTTGTTTGTACAATGAAACCCTGAGTCATCATTCTCCCCTTTCTTTGCTTGGGAAAAGCAGATTAATAATCTCAGAGATACTCACCTCACAGCTGATCCTCAGGGGAAGTACACCGCTGACTGCTGAACACATTCAGGACAAACCCCTGCTGCACTGAATCACTCTAAAACACACAAGCAAATCATCATTTCATTGCATAAATTTAAATAATAAAACCAAAACAAACAACACAATCACTCACATAACCACTAATATAGTTCATCTGTGGTCAGCAGGCCAGCAATCTTTAGTGTAACTTAACTACTTTCCATCCACACACCCATAAATCGAAGATGATATCACTCCGTGGCTTATTCTGTAAAAATATATCTCCTTTAAAACAGTTTGGTGTTTCCCTTCCCATGTGCTCCAAATGTCATGTTGTGTGAGTGGCCATGAAGTTTGGTTGGGCTGGATTTGTCCTATCAGCTGGCGTTTCTACAGTAATGTCAGCCCATGATAAGACAATCTTTCGGGACGCAGCCTGTTCTCCAGTAAACGAAGACAGGGGCCAAACCACATACTGCAGAATATCAGGAAGACTCTCTACACGCCTTCACGTGGCTAAAAAGTCAACAGCACACATTAGCAGTCTGTCTACTTACTGTTGTGTTTTATTCTGTATGACTGGTAAACAAATGAAACTTGTTGTACCATATAATATTTTGGATTCATTTCATACTTGACAGTTGCTTGGAAATGGGTGGGTTCTTGGTAAAGGGATAGTTCACCCAAAAATGTAATTATACTCACTATTTACTCATGTAATTGGTTACTTTTATCAGTTTCTTTCTTCTGTTGAACACAAAAGAAGATATTTTGAAGGAAGCTGAAAACCAGAAATCATTGACTTTTATGGTAACAAACAAATACTACAGAAGACAGTGGTTACAGCTTTGCATTATTCGAAATTTCTTCTTTAGTGTTCAACCGAAAGAAAACCAGGTTTAAAACAAGTTAAAGTGAAAAATCTTCTGTTTTGGGTAAACTGTCTCTTTATTTTAGGCATGCAACTGGATTAATACCATGTTTGCACTCAGATATCATGATTTCTATATTTATAAAACGTTATAAAACAAAGTAAAATTGTTTAAATGATTAAGCAATCTTCATAGTGATACTGTACATATATTCGCTGTGACTGAACTGTCAGGCGGTGTTGACAGGACGTGCCAGTATTATTGCTGTTTGCATCTAATGGTTTGGCTTTTCACGTGTGGTGAAGTTTTTGACAAAACACTTTTTTCTTTTTTGTCATATTGAGGGTAAAAGACATATATCCTGCCTTTACCGCTGTGTCTGGCTGATTTCCTTTGACTAGTTTCTGAAATTCAGTGAGGACAGAGCTGTGGGACCGGCCTTCGCTTTCAACATCACCTGTGGTACTAACCACTGCACTAAAGTACACATAAGCCAACGGTAACAAACATTCAACAATTAAACTCCATTTACCTTCTTTACATTCATTTCTCTAATATTAAATGTCTGTGACCAAAATCTGTGACCAAATGTTTAGTTTCTAATTAAAAATACAGGAAAGAGCAAATATACAGTTAAAGTCAGAATTATTAGACCCCTGAATTATTAGCCCCCCCTGTTTATTTTTTCCCCCCAATTTCTGTTTAACGAGGAAAAGGTTTTTTTTTCAACACATTTCTAAACATAATAGTTTTAATAACTCATTTCTAATAACTGATTTATTTTATCTTTGCCATGATGATAATAAATAATATTTGACTAGATATTTTAACTTCTATACAGCTTAAAGTGACATTTAAAGGCTTAACTAGGTTAATTAGGTTAACTAGGCAGGTTAAGGTAATTAGGTAAGTTATTGTATAACGATGGTTTGTTCTGCAGACTACTGAAAAATATAGCTTAAAGGGGCTAATAATTTTGTCCTTAAAATGGTTTTTTAAAAATTAATAGCTGCTTTTATTCTAGCCAAAATAAAACAAATAAGACTTTCTCCAGAAGAAAAAATATTATCAGACATACTGTGAAAATTTCATTGGTAAACATCATTTGGGAAACATTTAAAAAAGAAAAAAATCAAAGTTGGGCTAATAATTCTGACTTAGTTTTTTTATTAGTATTAATTTTGTTTAATAATTTTAATAATTTTTAATAATACGAATATTCTGTTCATCAATTGTTTAAATTGTTAAATACATATTTATTAAACATTTATTTAATACTTTTTGTATGTAGTTTCAAATAAAATTATTACTCCAGTCATTTGTGCTATTACTATTACCATTAACTTAACTTAAATAACAATAATAATTAATATTAAAGTGATTTCTGAAGGATCATGTGACTGAAGACTGGAGTAATGAGGCTGAAAATTCATCTTTAAAATCACTGGAATAAATTATTGAATTAAATGATAAGCTACTTTTGAACACTTGTTTTATAGTGCAATAACATTTTACAAATAGACAATTTGTACAGTATTTTGATAAAGTAAATGCAGCTTTGGTAAGCAGGATAAGCTTATTTTAAAATTTTTAAAAATCCTACTGACCCCAAACTTTTGACCGGTAGTTTATATACACTGAAAACATTCTAAAAACTGAATCTCAACCTAATTATGAAACATCATTTATATATATATAAATGATATAAATATATATATATAGTTATTACAAAGTGTCTGATGAAAAATACAGAATACATATGAAAATTTATGCTTTGTAAAACTCATGTATTGGTTGTATGTCTTCTATGTGTGTATTTATTTTTCAAATAGTTTGTAATTTATATATATATATATATAGTACTATAACATTATATATATATATGTATATACTGTATAATATGTAAAAAATGGTTGTTGTGTAATAAAGTCCTAGATTATATATAGTAAAACTCTTCAAAGTAGCAACAGCAATTTTATAAATAACTTTGAACTAATTAAAACATTTTTAAATATTATACACTAAGCACATTAAACCAAGACCTTCATTTATTACAAAAAATATGTGTCAAATAAAAAATATGAAAATATTATTTATGAAAATGTCTTCATTGTAGCAACAGTTGTTTCTACTTTTGAAATGATTTAGAACTAATTAAAACTAAATGATTTTAAAAGTTTTTTATAATACAATTATTACATGACAATATATTTATTTCTTACCTTTCATTATTACATAAACGGTTGAGTATTCTGGTTTTGTAACATGATATTAGATCTTAGAATATCTTCAATGTAGTAACAATTGTTTTTTATTTAGTATAAATACAATAATTATTAACTAATTTATAGACATTTTACATAATACGATAGCACATAACCAATACACACTGAAGAAAACATGTCTACAATATAACACAACTTTCAAAAGTTCATAACTGTTGTCAGCTTATACTGGTCTGCTGAAGCAAAAGAAAGTTTGCACACTGTTTACATTGAACAACTTCAACTTTCACAACTGACATAATGATCACTCAAAACATTTCAAACGCATTGCAACCCGAATCCCACTCTATATCACATCAACTGCCATATTTACAGAATAAACATCACAACAGACCCTCGGAGAAGAAGAAATGACAAACAGTACCTTATTACCATTCCCCACAGCAAGGAGTTCAGACCAGAAAGTGTTCAGATCAACATCATATATGATCCCGACAGACTGGGAGTTCACTGCATGCTACAGGTTTTGAACTACAAGTGTGTCTGTGCTCAACCTGTCCTGTTCTCTCATTCAGCCCGTCTCCCACTCACCCGCTCTGCTTTTGGCTGTCACTCACACAGATGGGACGGGTCTATGGGCGATGCAAGCAGCCTTCCTGTAAAGCACCCACACTTTTACCCTCCCAAATGCAACACCCGCTCTTTAGTATGCCAAAAAAGGTGACTAAATAGGGTAAAACAAGTAACTCATAGGTATTACCACACTTGTCTAGTTGATAGATTAAGAACTGCAAACTTTTTTTAACATTACAACTTCTGTAAGGTTATTTAAATATGCTAATGAGGCTAAATATGCACTCATTTGCATATGTTTCTTGCATAAAAAAATCCTGTTTCGTTTTTACTGTAACTTGTTTACAAAGGTGATTTTAGGTATCGAAGTGAGGGGGAAATACCACAAACAAGCCAAAATAAAATATATATTGTATATAATTAAGTCAATTATATATGAACAAATAGCTCTATAAAAAGCTTCAGCATACAGATATGAATGAAACTGAAGTCAGTTGAAGTTTATGACTCATTTTGAAAACTCGTTTTGAGAAGATGGCCTTTAGAAATAAGTACTGCAATTGAAATCTTCATACACCAATTGATAAAGTGAAACAAGAGAAGCTAAAAAGTTAATCTTGGATGCTTTCTTTTTATAATAAACCAAAAGAAACACTTTATATAAAAGACAAAAAGCCCCAAATGTCTAAATTGTGAGATGCATGAAAAAAACAGTGTTTTTTGCTTGCCTTGTGTTTCCCACAGAAAATGGTTAAGCCACACATGCACATATATATAAAAAGCTCATGCCTGATGCTTCGGACTTCCCAGGCCAAATATAGCCTCGGACCCTTCAGACTGTGGTTTATGGACAAGTGATTCACTAAACAATGCAAAAGTGAGGTGAGGTGGTGGTGTAAAAGGATGTGGTTTGAAAGCAGGCGCACCTGGAGTTAAATCTGGGACTGGAGGAGGAAGGGTTGTTTTCTGCCTTGCTTTAGTAGGGATGGAATGTACACCTTCAACAGGTAAGAAAGGCCACATTGTTCCTGTATCTGCAGCACAACCGCAGGCAGAGAGTGAAAGCAGGGGGGAAGAGCGTGGCTTACATTGCAATGACCAGTGGAGGCTTTGCTCAAGTCCCTGCACAAACACACACACACACACACACACACACATTAGAGAGACAATCAGTGTGATTGTTCCAACACAATTGTCAGGTGAGGTGAAAGGATGTGTTTCCCTTGTTCATTTGAAGTGCTGCATTTTATTTGACCGATGTCTGATCGTGTTTCACTGACCCTCAATAATACAGCGCTTAAAGAGCGTTGAGGTGTGTGGTGGTCTGCGGTCAGACTGACAGTGTGTTTCCAACGCGATTTCAAAGCAGTTCAGAGCTTTTTAATATAGTGGTTAATTCGTTTGAGTTTGCGAAATCTCATTTGTATGTTTTAGGCCATGTCCTCATGTACACAAAAATAATAATCTGTTCAAATGAAAATGACATCAAAAACTGACATCAAAAATAGAGAAAATATTTACGTCATGAAGCAAAAAACTTCTGAATATCTTCACCCTGACAGGAGTTTTCAAAAACGCTTTGCTTTTAAGTAACCTGTGTTTGCATGTGGATAAACCAACGCTATCTCACAGCAGTTAGTATCTTTTTGATTTAGTGGCTAACTTGTATGAAATCAGACGATCTCATTTGAACAATTTAATTCGATTTGCTTATCCCTCAGTAACTGTTGGGTTTAGGGGTAGGGTTTGGAGCCACACCTCCTTTTAAAATCCTTAATTTTCACACAACAACTCACACAAATTCATACGAAATAGGCACTAAAGTGATAATTAGTTATGTTTTTTGTGAGATAAGGCTGGATAAGCAGATAAAC